TAACCACTGAACCGATTGTTATGAAATTTTGCACATGTGAACAATTCACTCCAAACTAGTTATACCCAGATTTTCGTCAATTTTTACCCACGGATAAAAAAGTTACCCACGGATAAAAATTGTGCATTTTTTTTCGAGTACAAGCCTTAGAAGGACATCAAAAATCAGTTTTTAATAAATATTTCCGAAATTATTTGTTTTTGGTGACTATAATGTTCTGCAAATTTTTAAATAAAATACACAATTTTACTCAAGAAAAGAAGGTTCTATCTGCAAAACAGAAAAAGTAATAGGCAATATCATTTTTTTTTTTAATTCTTTATTTAAGAGATTTTTAGCCTTAGGCTAGTTCATCTCTATATAGGCAATATCAGTTTTTTGTTCCTTGATTCGTTTTCCGTCGATCTTGTTTTCAGTGCTGAGCACCAATTCTACCGACGCCAGGGAGGCAGCTCACACACCTGGACCCTACCTATCGACCCATCAACTCATGAACCGGGTACCAACGGCTTTACTTCCCATCCGAAGGAAGGCGTGATCAGAGATGTTATGCCTCAGAACATCCCGGCGGCGCCGACTGGGATTGAACCCAGGCCTGCTGAGGCGAGAGGTAATCACGCTTACCACTACACCACCGGCGCCGCTGGGAAATATCAGTTCAAAAATAGGCAAATTTCATTCATTGAACTTCATTCTGTGACCAAAGATTCTTATGTAAAATCGTGCGCTGAATCCAAAAAAAAAATCTCAGTAGGATAGTTTTCGAGATACAGTTTTTTGGCGTTAAAATAATGATTATAGCTTCATTACAGCCGGAGATATTTGTATTTGAGTAAACATATTTTTTTAAACTGAAATTTAATTTTTTAACTGTTTTTCGAAAACTATACTACTGAGATTTTTTTCACTACATTTTTGGATTCAGTACACGATTTTACATGGGAAATGATCATCAGCGTACCAATTTCAAATATGCAGTAAACTAGTGTTATTATTATATTTTATTTATTTGCATTACCCTGATCAAGAATTAGCCGTTGAGTTAATTATTTTAAAATCAGTTTAAAGCCTTGTTCAATTGGAATCATCACTTTCGTTTGACTCCAAATCAGTGTTTTCCAGCATATTTCTAGCGTCCTCAACCGAATCCATCACTCGCTTATCGCTAACACCTCTTAAATAAATGAATGGATCTGAATGGATTTGCACCTCTTCCGACAATTGACCTATTGGAACTAGAAAGCTTTCCACAACTTTAGATCCGTGAATCACAATTTTTCGAACAGTAACCGGCATAAAATATCAGGGGTACAATTCCACAAATTTCTCAGCAGTTGCTCGGCAGTAGCAATCAAATTGTTCAGTGTTTTTTTTTTTTCATGCCAGATGCCAGAGTTTGGAGGATTGCAGCACATCGTTGTGTTAGCTCTAAATCAAGCCCGGTGATATCAGCTGATTTTTATGGATTTTGAAAAAAAAAAAACTAACGACGGAATTCCCATCATTCGACGACCTGCACCTCCTGAGTGCTCTCAACTCGCTTAAACTCGTTCATTTCTTTTGGCTTAGCTTAACAGATGTAACAGGTCTTCAAACTTCATCTTGCATTCGTTTAACCCTGTAGTCCCATCGAATCCCCATTTTGCAGTCAGTACTACATTATTCAGTTCGTCATCTGGAAAGTATCAATCATTTCAATATTTGCTTCTATTATTCTACGGCTTGTGTGTCTCAAAAGAGCCCCAAGTTTTACTTCAACTGAAGTTTCTAAGATCAGTAAGGCTTCTTTTTCCGGGTAACAACTTCAACGGCACCTTTACGCAATCTTTCATATTGCTTTTTCGTCAGATTCAGATCCAAAATCATGACAAGAGCTTCATTATTTTTAAACCGAACAAGAGATTTTGAAACTGATCGTTGCTCTTGATGGACTCCTTTGTGTTATATCTTGCACAATAGTCGCGGAATCATGTTTCCCCTCCTCTCTTGTGTCTTGTTCAGACTACAGAGTTATAACATATTATAGTGCTATCATAATGGTGGTTTCTGTGTTGCAATTATTTGACAACCGTTATAACACTTTATAATTCTATAGTCTGCACGTACTATTAGCTTCATTTGAGTAGCATATGCTAACTCAGGCGTTGGATATTTGTTCCTTTTGCCAGTAATGTTCTGCCACGATTAACAAATGAGGATGACGAAGGAATTTCATTAATAATTTTCGATGGAAGTTTAAACGGGCTGGTAAAGTAATCGTTGCCTTACACTCATTCTTCGGTTCGGTTATGTTTTTGCCATAGCTTTTTAAAATATTTACACATCGATAGTACAATTCTATAATGAGCGAAAACTTCGTTGCGTGGAGTTTTTCCAAATGGAAATCAGCTTTCGTTTATCGATTTCAACTGAAATAGAGAATCGATAAACTCATTTTAATGTTGTTCAGTATATTGGACTGGTAGTTGCTCAGAAACCTTTCACCGAAAATAACTAAAAAAAATACATAAATGCAGAATATCCAGAAAACAAAACGCAATACCATTCATATCAGTAAAAAATATTTGACTTACCTTCAGTTGGACATATTATCACAATTTTCAGAATGCCATTTGCACACGAATCTTTACTCTGATAATCACAAATGCAACGAACGTTTTGTACCATAACGCTCGAATGACAGATCACAACTGGTAATAATGGGCTGGTTTTAGATGTCAAAAACAAACAAATAAAACACGGTGGATGGTTAGAATGCTATTAATAAAACATTCGTCAGCTCACATGGATACATCGGGATACAGATGACTACTAGATGACATGATAGTATTTTCATTAAAGTTTCATTATATTGAGGAGCCGTCTGCCGATAGAACTATCTCTTCTTAAGTAAAGTTGTGTATTTCATTGATTTTTAAAAAGTTGCAGAACATTATAGTCACCGAAAACAAATAATTTCGGAAATATTTACAAAAAACTTATTTTGTAGGTCCGCTTCATAACTCAAAATCGCAAGCAGATAGAGATATAGCGTCTTCTACAAAGTTTTTAGTTATGAATTTAGTCAAATTTTACTGAAGACTTTATATATCTGGCCAAACTAAAAAGTTAGATTTCACAGCGCCACCTGTGGTGAAGTTTCGAACTAAAGCTTAACTTCATTTAATGGTTCTTGTCATTTACATAAACTCTTCTGTAAAACCACTGTGAAAGGTGCTAATGAAAAAATCAAGGATTTGGCCTTTCGCACCACTGTGTATTGCGATAAAAAGTGAAGTCGTGCATCTATGTTGCAACAAAGGTGTCTGCGGTTGGGACTAATCATGACTAGAAAGCGACTGAATTTTTCATTATTGTGGGATTTGATGTCAAAGTATGGATTTTTGGCTGATTAAGTGTCAAGAAGGATCGAATATCACCTTAGAATCAATTACTTTTATTATTTGATCACGCAAAAAATACTCTCAAGATGAACACAATGCAATCAGGCGGTGGATTAAATCGAACCGCAAACAGTGAAGTAATTGCCCAAGGGTAATGCGCATCATGAAAGAAGAAAGAACTGGGGCCATGAAAAGGGCCGTTTGTGACACAACTACCACGGAAGCGATGAAGGACATGACACGGGTGACCAGGATATGGACTAATGAAAGAACACAAATTTCACTGCCGCAGGAGAGTACTGCTGAGTACTTACTATTGATCATAGAAAAATCATAACAAAAAAATATAGGTTGTGTCCTAGACACGACCGCAGTATGACGTAGAACTAAGCAAAATTGATGTTTGTCATGCATTTTTGACTATTATACTTTGTCTTAATTTTTTCAAGTATTTCATTGTTTCGGAAATGGTTCAATGTTGGTTCAAGTATTTTTCCTAAAATGTAATAAATTATGAAAATTCAAATGATTGCACTGAGCCGTGTCAACCGTATTTTGGAGTAGCATCCCAGTATAGTCCACAAAGACGCCATGCATGTTGTGGGATAAAACAATTGCCAAAAAAATACGTTATTTTTTTCAGTAGCTCCATCATTAGTTTTAAATTAGGTCTCTGAATCAGAGAAGAGAGTGAAGTTTGCATTTTATGATAACGCAACAGGCAGTTGTTTTCCTAGTCAGATGACGGTACTTTCAATATTGAACAAAATGTTGGTTCATATGTAGGAAGTAGGGGAGAAAGGGGTATAACGATCATACGGGGTTTAAGCACCTCTTTGTTTGGTGCAACCCTAACATAAAATTATCATGCATCATCATTATTTAGTTTACAGCGTGTGCGTAGAATTTAGCAAAATAGAATACTGTGATTTTTCTCAAATCAAACGTTTGGTTTCCAGTAAGTAGGTGCTTAGTACAACAGTTATTGAAAATTAGGGGAATCCATTTATTGAATTTCAAAGTCAAAGCAAAAGCTCGTATGAGGCATGAGGAAAATTGCGACTTCAAACGAATAAAATTTATCATGTGACACCTCAAGTCACATTAGATTTAAACAATTAGTTCAATTGTAGTCATTCGAAACATGGCCAAATTTCATCTATAAATGTCAAAGTTACAAGCATTCAAAACCTAACACTTTTTCACCATACATATTTTTTGATTTGCACCCCAATATAGTCGACAAAGACGTAGTTCTACGTCAAAAAAGCCTACTTCTCCTATTATTAAAATAGCATAAATAATCCCGAAAATGCATTCCAGCAAAACGCTAATCCAAGCATGCGTACATGACGCCATTTTCCGCCCGCCAACGTCAAATTTGGTTCAATTAAATCCACTCAACTCCATCCAGCCTAATCCTTCATTATCACACGCACGCACACACCGAGAATCCACTGCCCACCGCGTCGCGAAACGTCACGAGTTTGACCAACCGACACCGGCTCAAGATATGATGCTTCGCGTTCGTCTCGCGTGCCAAAATTACTACTTGCTCTCTTGGCTGAATGCATTCAGCAAACTGCGTCTTGGTCATCCTAGGTCGAAAGACTCTTTCAGTAGTCGCGTGAAGCTGGAGGTCGCAAGACGTATCGCGTTGAGAAAATTTGACCAACAAGATGAGACTTGGGCGCAGTGCGTTCATAACCGGGTTATTGCTAGTGTTTGGTGTATTCCACGTGCACGGTGATGATACATGCCCGGTATATTTGACCTTATCGTCACTTTCGAGACACATCGAGGATGCATCGCTAGTGATCAATTGGGGTCCAGATTGTGAAACACCTCCCGACTGGATAGGACTCTACACGGAGAATCCAGCGTTATCGAATGCTCCTCCAGCGATCAAAGTTCTGGTGGAAGGACAGACGTCGGGTGAAATCGTGACGGAACTCAAATTCGGTAAACAGCGTCTCCCAGGAGGATGGAACTACGATGAAGTCCTTCGCCATATCCCGAAGCGTCGGGCAAAACCCTTGTGTTTCGACTTCTATCTGGTCAGTCACGACAAGAACAACGAACTTCAAACCTTCGAGTGTCTCAAGATCCAACCGAATTGGATGTTCACCGAACGAGGCATTGGAAACGTTTCCCTGAAGGACCTGTTCCTTCCGGGAACTCATTGTTCTGCATGCTACCAAACCAAGGCCAACGTCAACCACATTTTTCTGAAACGGGTCGGTTTCCGTCAGGACCTGAATATCTGGACCCAGCTGGTGTACGGCATTCGTTATTTGGACTTCTCCGTCGGATACCATCCTTCACATAATGGAACGCGCAACTTCTGGATTATGAACGAAAGCTACCGGGTAGGTTGGATCGTTCCGATCCTACATGACATCCGCCGTTTCGCGATCCTTTCCGAGGAGACCTTAGTTCTGGACTTCCGACGATTCCCACTTGGATTCCACAACCACCCGGAGCAACACAATGAATTTCTGCAGATTCTGGACCAGGAGCTGGGTGACCTGATCTACCGCCGACCGCGGTTCGGAGATGATGAAAATGATGACACCGAGTCCTACCAACTCACGATCGACCAGATGCGACGGGAAGGAAAGTACATCCTCGTTACGTACAACCACGAGGCCAGTTTGAACGGTGAGTTATACACATCTAAGTGAATCAAGTCTGGAAACGCATTACGGTTGCTACAATTTCTGCGCTGCCAATCAAACTAACAACGGCGTGGCGCGACAACGATGCCTGATGACAACGAAAAGGGTCATTATCTAATTTATGGCGAAACGGTTGTAATGAATGGAAGAGAACTTTTGTGTGATCTTTGAGTGAATGTGTGGCGAGAAGATGAGTTTTGCGCAGCAAACCGAGCGCTTTCATGTTCAGAAATGTGCCGACCATTTTTTAAACGTTTATTACTTTAGTTGAGATTTGCGACTCAAATGTGTAAATAACCTTTCTCAGTTGACCATTTCAATTACAATCCATACACAGGATCCTAATTTCTCTTTTCGCATACAGTTCAGTTTTCTCATATGAATACAGTTTAGTTTTTTGTATATTTAATTCTACGATTTGCATGAAACTTTGCATAATTGTTTGTCATATTGTCGTTCAACAAAACAAAACATTTCTGGCATTAAGCAGTTCTTCGTTAAATAACGAATCGGTTTTAATTGTTTCACATTTGAGCTAAAATTCGACCATTTTGAATTGAGTTTAAAAAAATTAAAAAGGCTTATTCGATATTTTTTAACAAATTATAACTCGAAAACATCATTTCCAATCAAAATGAGGTCTGAGACAACGCTGTAGGAAAAAAAATCCTTTCAGGAAAAATATACATGGTGTAAGTAATTTGAAACTGTGATTTTTGAAGTTATGCATCGTATCATTTGAAATATTTGAAGTTCAAATACATACTGTGATTCCTTCGATTTGATGCGCCGTGCGTCTTTTAGTTATTTTTTTTATCAAATATGTGATTGCACCAAACTGCACACGGACTTTTCAGCAATGAAACGCATGGAGCGTCATTTGTTATTGTACCCAAACCCGTTTGAAAACCCTTTGATTTGTTTTCCGTGCTGAGCACCAATGCTACCGACGCCAGGAAGCAGCTCCCACACCTGGACCCTACCTATCGACCCATCAACTCATGAACCGGGGACCAACGGCTTTACTTCCCCTTCGAAGAAAGGCGCGATCAGAGATGTTATGCCTCAGAACATCCCGGCGGCACCGACTGGGATTGAACCCAGGCCTGCTGGGGTGAGAGATAATCACGCTTACCACTACACCACCGGCGCCGCTTCGTTTGAAAACCCGAAACCCGATCATCTTTAACTTCTACCCACCACTCTGAAGTTCCCTAATTTTTCCTGAAGTTATCTGAACTTCTCGGTACTCTTCTGGTATGTTGCAGAAATTTCTCTGAAATTAATGAAACTATCCTAAAGATGTCTAAACTTCCCGTCATTTTCTGCACTTCCGTGAATTTCTCGGAATTTCTGTGTAGTTTCAAAAAAAAAATCATAAGTTCTCTAAACTTTGCTGATGTTATCTGGATTATCTTTGATTTTTGGAACTTCTTGAAGGTTCTCACTACTTTTCTGAACCTAATGGAATTGCCCTAAAGTTTGACGAGAATAAAAGTCCAATACGTATGCACGCAGTGATAGTTATATTTAGAATAAAAGAAAGAACAAGAGCAATACAAATCAAGGTTGGAAGCTGACACTTGTTAAAACACTGTTAACCACAACAACTCAAGTTAAGGGTAAATATTACGCTTTTGTCTGGTTCACAACACCCCCTCTCAGACCAAACGTGAAACGGTGTTCTTTGAACGGCCCAGCCGGAAGGCTCTTCGTAAACACATCAGCAACCTGCCTCTGCGTTGGTACGTACTCCACTCTTATCTGGCGGCCTTGAATACATTCCCGGATGAAATGGTAGCGTATATCCAGGTGCTTCAGTCTCTTCTGGTCACAAGGTTCGTAATATGGATACACGATTGATTATCCTCGTAGAGCGTGGTGGGAGAACAACAATCGATTCCAAGGTCGCTTAGAAGATTCCTGAGCCAGATCGCATCGCATGCAGCCTGACTTAACGACACGTACTCTGCCTCAGTAGATGATAGGGAAACGGTCGGTTGCTTTCTTGTTGTCCACAGTACTGAATTTCCGAATACTTGGAACAAGCTGCCGGAGGTTGATCCGTTGATCTACGGTCGTTGATGTCGCTTCCCCAGTCAGCGTCGGCGTAGCCCTGCAGAGGTTCTGCAGTTTTGCTTCGCTGATATACAAGGTAGTATTCCGTTGTGCCGTGTAAATAACGCAAAACATGTTTCAAGTGCGTCCAATGGATGTCCGTTGCTTCACTCTGGAAACGGCTGAGGAAGTTCACGGCCGACTGGACGTGACGACAGCATGAAATACGTTAAGCATCCTAAAAGTTCACGGTATGGATGTTTCGTTGCCGTTTCCGAATCGTTTCTCTTTAGTTTCAGATTGACCCCCAATGGAGTAGCCACTGGCCTACAGTCCTGCATGCCAAATCGCTTCAAAAGTGCCCGAACGTATTGGGACTGGTTGATAGTTAAGCCTCCTTTCTCCATGTTTCTTTCCACTTTCAGACCGAGAAAATACTTCAACTCCTTCATATCGTCCATCTCGAACTCCTCAGTCAAGCTACGTTTGATTATCATTAGCTCCGTCAACGAATTGCATGCTAAGGTAATGTCGTCCACGTATAGGATCAAGTAAACGACCACGTCCTTCGTCTTGCGTACGTACAAGCAGCTATCGTATTGAGAACGTCTGAAACCCAGTTTCAACATATACTCATGAAAGCGCTTATTCCAGCTGCGAGGCGCCTGTTTGAAGCCATACAAGGATTTGTTAAGCATACACACTTAACTTCCCCTCTCAAATCCTGGAGGTGGACGCATATATACGGTTTCCGATAGGCTTCCGTTAAAAAAGGCGGTGCGTACATCCATCTGATGAATGTGAAGGTTTTGCTGAACCGCTACTGCTAGCAACGTACGGACTGTACTAATACGAACAACCGGTGCGTACGTTTCCTGGTAATCAAAGCCGTGACGTTGGGAGCACCCTTTTGCCACAAGACGCGCTTTGTACCTCTCGACACTTCCATCAGCCTTGTGTTTAATTTTAAAGACCCACTTACTTGGAATTGCACGCTTGTCAGCAGGAAGATTTACCAGGTCCCAAGTGTGGTTCTTTTCCAGCGACCGCAGCTCATCCTCGATCGCCTTTTCCCAGGCGGGCTAGTCTTCTCGCTCACGCAGGTCTTCGACGTTATCTGGCAGGTCTTGCACGTAATTTTCCGCGTTCAGCGCGAACGCCATACACACTTCATAGTCTGAAAGTCGTTCCGGAAGCTTCCGCTGCCGCTCGCTTCTTCTTAATGGCACATCTTCTTCGTCATCAGTTTCTTCTTCAGCCGGTGGTTTAATTTCTTCCGCAGCTCTGATTGAAGCACTCGCGTCCGGCTCCGACAGGTGATCGGATACTAGATGATCGTTTGTGTACACATCCTGATGAACAGTCTTCTTCACCGGAGGTTCTTCGATTACCACGTCCCGACAGATGCCCACTTTCCGCTGATCCGGGTCCCACACGCGGTAACCATTAACACCGTAACCGGTGAGATAACACACGCGGCTCTTAGCGTCCAGTTTGGATCTCTTTTCCTTCGGAATATGGCAAAACACTTTACTTCCGAACACGCGTAGCCTCGATACGTTTGGCTTCCGATCGTACCACATTTTGTACGGTGTTTTCGCAACTGCTAAAGCGTTTATAGGGCTCCGGTTAACCACATGAACTGCTGCTTGTACTGCTTCAGTCCACAGGAGCCTATTCACACCCGATTCATCCAACATTGCCCGCGCGCGTTCGAGGATCGTTCTGTTCATACGTTCCGCGACACCGTTTTGTTGGGGATTATACGGCACACTTGGTTCCATAACGATTCCCATTTCACTGCAGTACGTTTTGAATTCTGCGTTCATATATTCGCCTCCATTATCACAACGCAGTCTGGCGATTTTCCGTTCGAAATGTGACGTAGCCATCGCAGCATACTTTTTGAATGCTTCCACCAAATCACTCTTCGCTTTCAACGTATACACTGCCGTAAAGTGCGTGTAATCGTCAATAAAAGTTACAAAAATCTTCTTTCCGTCCCAAGATTCCGGCTTGAACGGACCACACACGTCCGTATGTACCAATTCCAGCGGACGTGCCGAACGAGGTCTGTCGCACTCTTCGAAAGGCAACTTCGCTTGTTTGCCCATCATACAGGGTTCACACACCTTCAAATTACTTGTGTGACGAACACTATCATCAATTCCATCGACCATGCCACTTCGGATCAGTTTCAGCAAACCAGCATTACCAATGTGGCCAAATCTACGGTGCCACAGCGATAATTTGCTTTCTGATTCACTCACCATCGCAGACGACACTTTCATCACTTCGACGTTTAGTTCGTACAACCGACCTTTGCGATCCGCGGTACACACAATGTTTCCGTTTCTCGAGATTCGCACACTGTTTTTTTTTTCGAATAAGACTTCCATTCCGCGTTCCGCCACTCGTTTGACGGAGAACAAGTTGGTATACAGGCCAGGAGCAAACAAAACATCGTACACTGTGCAACTCAGCTGTTTTCCGTTCACTTCCGCGCTCATTGTGACGTCACCAGCGAAACGACTAATCAGCGACACACCTGACTTAGCAACATTGATTACGGTTGGTACCTCAAGCTTCCGAACGTTCACAAGACGACCCTTGTTATTCACCATATGCTCTGAAGTACCACTACCGAGCACCCACCGGAACTCATTATCAACAGTTTGCAGAGCGTCTTGTTCCACACTCACACTGAAAGCAACATCGTCACTTTCTGCTTCAGCACTGTGCGCTCCAGAGTTGTTCTTCTTCTTCGTCTTCTTTCGTTCTTCAGTAGCACGATTCGACCACTTGATTTCAGGGCAATTCACTCCCCCCCCCCCCCCCCCTAGAGCGTGACATAATATATGCATCAACCCTTTATGCCATGACCCCAAATTCTTATATCACAGTTCCTAATGTTTTTGAAAAAAAATTCGGAGCTCTAGGATCAGTGTTATTGGTTGGCCTCTTTTCCGGATGTTCCGGACCTACCAGAGGACGGACCCATGGCCTTCTTGGTACATGTTTATGTCATGACTCCATATTCTTTATTATTTCACAGTTTCAAATGCTTTCGAAAAAAAACCGTAGAGCTCTAGGATCAGTTTCATGAATTGACCACTTTTACGGATGTTCCGGATCTTTCGGAGGACAGTCTTATGGCTATCAGGGTCCATGTTATCAGGGTCACAACCCCAAATTCATTCTATCATCACAGCTCCTCGTGTTTTTCTAAAACTGCGGAGCTCTAGGATCAGTTTCATGAATTGACCACTTTTACGGATGTTTCGGATCTTCCGGAGGACGGTCTTATGGCCATACAGGTTCATGTTTATGTCATGACCCCAAATTCATTCTATCATCACAGCTCCTCGTGTTTTTAAAAAAAAAACTGCGGAGTTCTAGGATCAGTTTTATGGATTGACCACTTTTAAAGATGTTCCGGATCTTTCGGAGGACGGTCCCTTGGCCTTCTTGGTACATGTTTATGTCATGACCCTTAATTAATTTATATCCTAATGTTTTCGAAAAAAAAAACCGTGGAGTTCTAGGATCAGGGGTTCATGGATCGACCACTTTTACGGATGTTCCGGATCTTTCGAGGACCGTTCCGTTATCTCTAGCTTCCATATATAGGAACCATGACTGTATTTTGGCTAATTATGAACATTTGTGCCCATTAATCTAAATCGTGGATCTTAAGCCACTTGCAAATCTCATAAACACACCCTTAAAAAAACGTGTAACGACTTTTGGCTTTTGAAAAAAAAAGACGACCCTATTTTCAATCTTTCTGCAATTAAAATAATCTTCCAATTCTAGGAATTCTAGATAAACAATTTTTTTTGGATTCATCAAAAAATAGCTAAGTTATGTCATTGCAAACTTGCTGTTAGACGTTTTTCGGAGGCTTCATAGTCGACGTAAAGTATTTTACCCATCGTATTCGGAGTGTTAATATAGAATGTTTTTTCTACGATGAATTATGAATTTTCGATGTACGTAATGTCCGGGAAAATTTCAACTTTTGCTCATTTGCTCTGACATTAACGACATTTTAATCCCAAAGCTGGTTCAACCTTGGCTGAAAACCTTGTAAATAAAGTAGTTAAACAAATGACTATTTAATAATATAAAGAGAGAGAGAGAGAGATAAGGATTAGTAATTTACATTTAATACCACTACTTTTATGCTTATCCTTGACAGATACGCGTATTTCGTCTACAATGTGCAGACTTCTTCAGTGTCTTGTACTAATACTCGATACTAGTCGAGTATCAGTACAAGACACTGAAGAAGTCTGTAAATTGTAGACGAATACGCGTATCTGTCAAGCATAAGCAAATGAGGTAGTGGAATTAAATGGAAATTACTAATCCTGCTCTCTCTATTTATACTGGTATTCCACTAAGACGCCCACATTCATCAGGACATTTTAATGTTAAGAAGCCTGAGGCTGAGTTCACGAGCTACTGTTCAATAAGCAAAAATGGTCGCCATCAGGCCACCGAGCCTTTTACATTACAGCACACCAGTTATCGTCGAGTTGCAGCTATTTCTAATAATTCCCGGCGTCATCGATGATACATTGAATGGAAGTGATATAATCATACTAGGAGAGCAAGAAATACGATATTAACTTATCCATAGTGTAAAAACTGAACCCTCCAGCTTTGCTCAGAAAGAAAAAACGTTAGCCGCTCTCTTTACACCAATTATCATCGAATTTTAATGCCATTAAAACCCGGGGACGGCACCGCGAGCAACAAAAACTGTTTCTTGGGAATGGCAGCCGTTTGTCCAGATGAATCTAAACCGAATAGAACATAATATTTGAGCTTAAGATCTTGTTTAAAAGGCTGAAAGGACAATTGAATTTAATCGTTATATTTTTGATCTATGCCATATTAACATGCAATGATTTATGGTCAAACATTGGAGACACAAACTTTCAGCTGGTTCAAGGCTTTGAGTGTAAAACCGGATACTAACCATTTTCATTTAGATCCACCCAGATATACGACAGATTAGGTTTTGATGGGCTTATGTATGCATTCTCACCACTTCATAATTTATAAACTTTTATAAAATAACTTCGTTGAAACAATAATGTACAAACAAAGTTTAATATGAGCCACAGACATATTAAATAAGTAAATTAATCACTACTGGAGCTTTTCAGCAAATTTTCGAACAAATTAGTGGCGAACAAAGCTCGGCCGGTGAACACACCGCTTGTTACATCGTTCCAAGACGATTCCATTTTAAACTCAGAGACCTGGTGAAAAGCATTATGCAAATTAGCTGTATCATCGCTACCATCTTCCAAACAGCAGTAATAACCTATTTTACGAGTTTCAAACCATCACGAATGCATTATTATATCATCGTGAGATGCAGTTGAAAACCTGCTTTCTTATCATCAAGCTAAACAAAACGAATAGGAGTTGAATGTGTCACATTCCATCTACCCACGGTATAAACTTCTGTCGTGAAACTTACATTCATCAATTTTATTCAAATAGATTTAGCTAATCAGTTGAGGTTATGCTAATGCAACTATCTTAGTGTACAATTCTGTTGCCACCGCTCCTACGAAGAAAGCACAATTTTCAACGTCCAAGCAAATCTGAGCTGCAGCCGATCGATTTCGTTCTTGGACGGGAATTCCACTAAAATACCATTTTCCGTCGGTTTCCACTAAAAAATCAAGTTGCTAAATTTCCAGTAAGGCCAAAAATACAAGATCTTACAACGCTTACCTTCAAGCTCGTATTGAATCCCAGCATGGTGATTTGGTTTATCTTTGTATAATGTTTATCCAAGGCACCCAACACTACACTGTTGGTCTTGAATGGGTAGTTCAGAACGATAGCATACAGATTGGTAAAGCTCCCTGTTTCGCCCACCGCTTTCACGGGTTTCGAGGTGTACCAAATATTGGAAGTAATTGTATCGTTCTGGTGAGTCCATGGCCTACTCTTGTAGATAGCATCCCCGTTAGTTTTGAGCCACCTATAAAAATCCTACGTTGATTGGTTGTTCTATCATTTAGTTTTTAGCGAGATTACCTTCCCATATCGGTCAAACGTTCCACAAAGATCGGATCGATCGTGCCGTACTTGGTGGGACCTACGTTGATCAGAATATTGCCACCACAGCTAACGGTGATGGCAACCTCCGCAATCAGCTCGGCCGAGGTGAGAAAATCTTCCAGCTTGGCATTCTGTCGATGACCCCAGCTATTCTTATCAATCGTCATTGCATTCTCCCACTTGTGCGACTGGAGGACACCTATTGAATAAATCAGATTAAGATAAAGTAAGTAATCCTCAGAAAGCATTCGAGTTTGAGATACGATGCATTTCAAGGGCAAAACACTTACCTGGATTGTACCGATCGGAGCAGGTATAGAAGTCTCCATGTAGGCAAAGTGTTCCAATGCCCCATCGATCGTTGGTCACTATCGTGTTCCTAACAGGGGATTCGTTGTACAACCACGTAAAGAACTCCTTCGCTTTCCAGTAACCATCTGGAGCTTCCCAATCACCATCGCTCCAAAGAACCTCCGGTTTGTACTTGGTGACCAGCTCTTTCAACTCTGGCCACACCTTAAAGTCTACATAGTCGTGTTTGAGGAAAGCATGAAGCTTATCTGCATTGTAGAGGCGATTGAACCACTCAAATAGCGAATAGTAGACACCGAAGGTGAGCTTGGTATTGTTCCGGATGGCAGTAGAGAGTTCTCCGACGATATCCCGGTGAGGACCTACGTCAACCGAATTCCAACTGTACGTGTACTTTGAAGGCCACAAGGTGAATCCTTCGTGATGCTTGCTGGTGAGAACCACGTAACGAGCTCCAGATTGGGCAAACAGTAAGGCCCATTCCGTTGCATTGAACAGTTCAGCAGTGAAATCACTAGCGAAATCCTGATATGTGAAACCCGGTTTGTAGTTCTTTGTCATGAAATCCACATAGTTATCATATTTATACCCTAAAAGCATAACATCATTCATATAATATTGATAAGAGAAAGTTGACCTGCACTCACCCTGCCAATTAATCCAGAACCACTCCGATCCAAAGCTTGGCACGGCATAGACACCCCAATGCAAGAAGATTCCAACCTTTGCATCGTCGTACCACTGCGGAAGTGGCCGCGAATCAAGGCTGGCCCATGTTGGTTCGTACTTTCCAACTTCATTCTCCTCGACGTCGCCAGTCGCAGAATGAAGCCATATCACCAGACAGAATAACAAACAACGTAAACTCATCACTATACCTACCTAACTACACTTGCGATAGAACGGAGCTCAATCAGCGATAATTGAACCGGCTGGACGAGAGTTTCACGCCTTACTAAAGATCAGCGCACCGCACCGCTGCTCTTGCTTACAACCGGCATCGGTTTGAATAAACTTGCTGAGAGAAAAAGTCTTTTCTAGGTTTGACCTATTTTCTCTAGATTGAAATCTCACAGTTCAATCAATAAAATTCAAATCTTGCGGGAATCGAAGTGTTTGCGTTCTTCGTGCCCAATTGAGCGTGGACAACTATCTGTATTTCAACCCTGATGCAACGCCTACTTGTAAATCGAAAGCTTAACTTGCACTCAATCTTGTACACAACAGTAACACTTTCAAAATATTGACACAGATGTCCGTACTGAACTACCATACAAATCAGCAAAGCTCTATAGTACAAAACCATTCTCCTTATTTTCTTTTTCTTTTTTAGCATCCGATCTCATATGGGCACCGTGGAAGAAGCATTCGAGCTCGTTCCTCAAACACACCGAGCTGGGCGAGTTCATGAAGAATCTCTTCTCCCAAAAGCATCCGGATGCACCGAAGGACATCGGTTGGAACTTCCACGGCATTCAGGGCCTGCAGAGCAGCTACGTAAGGGTTCGGAATCATTGCCACTTAAGATTTGAACAATCAACTTTTCCTTCAAATTTTAGTCCTCCGAGGAGAAGTATATGATGCCAAAAGAGCGTGCCAACCTGATCAATCCGAAGCTGATGAAGATGCTGGGCGGACCGTGGAGTTTGCGGGCCAATGCTGTCCTGCTGGATTACTTTACCAATACCAATTTGATCGATATGGCGGTGCATGCGAATCGCTACAAGACACTGAAGAGCCTGGGCGAGGAAGTGGTAGTTTTGGATATCCAATGAATTGATTGCGACATTTTGAAAGCCAAGTTCAAACTACTCTAACACTCAATTCTAGGATATTAAGATGTATGCTGTGGTAAGAAAAGAGCAATTGCGCATTTCCAAAGTTAAATTAAGAATTTCTTATGATTAGAATTCGACAGAGTCTTACGCCACAGAAGAGCATATAATTATTCATCATAATCATTCATTGTAGATGTAATGCTTAAATAATTAAGGCTCAAACACATCACAATTAATATGTACGATTTAAAAATAATTATTGATAAATAAAGTCAAAGATACCATTATTATATTTTAGGTGTATTGCTTTCGAAAAAGTTGCGTAAATTCCGTTTGAATAACAAAAACACTTTGATTTTAAGCTAATAACTACGTTTGAGCCACGAATTCCATGTATTGAAAAAATCATAAAAATGATAGATCTATCAACCATACACAAAGCTATCCAGTAAACAAGATAGCAGACAGTTATCACGAAAACAAATTTACAATCCGGAAAGATAATTGAACATGACCAACCTCTGTTTACGCCTTTTTTTAATCTTGCTATCATGCAGGATGGGTGCAGCATTTTTAAAGTCACCTTATTTTTCTTGAATTTTTTTTTTTAGATTTTTTTAAACTACGTAGTTACATTAAATTTGGTTGAAGAAGGACGAAAAAATTTTCATTAAAAGAGCTTTTAGTGTATAACATAGATAATCTAAAGAATGCCTATAAAGGCAAAGGCTCTAATGTTGACCTATGGATCTGAATTTTACTAAATGAGAGGAAGGGGAGCTTTAAAAGCGCAACGTAATAAGTATAGGGGGGTCAATTTTTAGCGTTACGTAATTAATGAACAACGCCTAATACAGTAATGACCCGATTTCATCAGACTTATACATATCAATAATATCACATAACCGTAATTCCAAAGCTTTCTCATGCACCTTGTAGATGGGTTTAGTAGAACATTAGCAGCAGAGATTTTCAAATAGGGGACTGACAAAATCAGGTCATTACTGTTGTTTATATTTTACGTTTTTGGTCAATTGGACGCTTCAACCATTGTGTCAATTGCAGAATAGATAACAATGCTAAGCTGAACATAATCATTAGACCTGTTCATTCTAAACGAAATGTTCGGAATGTAACGGGTCAACCGTGATTACTGTTCGTCATGTTAATTTGTACTTCTGTGTAAATTTTCAGCAAAATCGGTGATGATTTTGAGGTGCTTCATGTTAATTTTATGTTTTTAAGGTAATTTACGGCTTACAATATTTGTATCTCGAGACTGAAATAACGAAAACTGCTGTAACAACTTTCATAGCAAAGTTTAATGTGTCATGTATCAACTTTGTGACCAAAGGTTGACTATTAGAAGTGATTTTATTGAAGTTTGACTTAGTTTCATGCTCGAAGATATCTTAAAAAGTGAAGAATTTTAAAGTATTTGTTCTACGAATTTTCCACCCGTATGTTATAAAAATGTGTAGTGTACGGCATAATGTTCCTCATATTGTTCTAGAAGTTTCATTCCAACATAGTTTTCGTGTTTATTTCATAGATTGAGAGATAAAAATCAGAAAAGAGGCCGTTTTAGCTAAAATTCACAAGACAACAGAACCAATAAAAGTCAATTAGATTGACAGAACATAGTTGCATTGCTTTTCAATGACGACCGATGACTGTTTCATTGATATATGATTTTTTCATAAATATGAATCCTCAGTAGACGTGTTTTTTTATCAAAGGCAAGTGTCACTCGAGCCATTCAAAATATTCGTTATTTTATAAATTGCTGTTATGGTTCGAGTGACACTTGCCTTCGAGAAAAAACACGTCTACTGAGGATTTAAATTTCGTTTAAAATGAACAGGTCTAATAATCATGAAATTTTATTTTTTCGTTATTAAATTATTTATTTCTGTTTCCGACGATATTTTCTATTATTTTTCAGAGTGTATGTTTTTCTGGAAATGTTTTCCAGTTTCATACAACTTTGTTTCCGACGTCATTTTGATTAAATGAGCCTCCCCTGCAAACAATGGAAGTGAAATAAAAGCTTATTCAGGCAAAAATACGTCAGCTAAAAATTGCTAACTCAGCCTTTAATAAGCTATCATTGCACAGTGGTCCAGAATGCAGATTTACCGTATGCGTGATAATGTTTGCACCATTGCGCAATGTCAAAATTAAAAAAAATCTCAAAAATTTTGTTTTCCTGTTTTTTTAATTTATTCAAAGGGGGATGTTTCTCAGAGTCTTAAACTATGTTAATCATCGATCGAGTTTCCACTTGCTGCAATTACGGCCTCCAAACGCTTCCGGAATGCACGGCAGGTTCTAATAATGTAGTCTGGATCCATTTCTCTCCAGGTACGGGTCAATGTTTGTCTGAGGCTTGCTGTACTCGGGTGGCGTTTAGAACAGGCCTTGGCCTTCATGACGCGGCATATTGAGTAATCCAGCTGATTAAGATCGGGGCTGGATGGCGGCCACATATCCTTCGTCCAGAACGGAAGATGTTCCTGCAACCACTTCTGAGTGCGGTTCGAGTGTGGCACGGAAACAAAAATACAACATTTGGCTTCGGACCGTACTGTTCTTTGATCCACGGAAGAACATACTTACTTAAAATCCCGATGTAGACATCCGCGTTGACATTGTCGCCTTCTGGAATGAACACCTGGTCCATTTTTTTGCCATGGAAGCCACCAATCCAAACACCATAACGCTAGCAGGATGCTTGATCAGATACACGTTCTTGTGCTCGTCGGCCACATCTTTTACCGGAAGAGAACTAATATACCGGTCGGTTCTGGAATTTGATACGGGATCGACGGTAAACATGCTCTCGTCGGTGAACAGGATTACCGGATTTTTACGCCTAAGGAAGTTCAAGATTTTCTTGCAAAGTTCGACTCATAGCGGTTGGTAATCATGTGAGTTTTATTCCGTTCCCTCGACTTCGCCCCGCAATCTTCCTTTACGATCTTTCGTGCCGTAAAGTCACTGATCCCGTGTTCCTTTGCCATTTTCCATATTGAACGCACTGAATTCACCCGAATCTTCATTTTGAAAGCAGCGATAACTCTCGGAACCCTCGGACGACCTGTGGCCACCTTCGCGGATAGTTCTTTTCTCGGTCTAAAACCCTTTTGACGGTCCACCGGGACACTCCCACGGCGATTGAAATGTCTTTTTGCGACATTTGCACGTGTGACAAGTCCCGAATACGCTGCCACTTCGTCATGGTGCAACTGTCAAACTAAGTAAATCATTTTCTTTTATACACAGCCTACTATACGGTATGAGCTATAGGTTACGTGCATGCAAAGAAAACCAAGGCATTGTATGCACAGGTGAAACGGGGTCCTTATTTGTACGATGGTGCAAACATTATTACGCATACGGTACACAGCAAAAAAACTTGTTGAATATTACATCGAAACTGCTGCAACCAGGTCAATCCATCGGTTGTGTAATATCACATTGTACGATGTACATCGATTTTGCGAACAAAATTACATCCATTGATGTAATATTGTATCTGCTTTTTGCTATTACATCATTATTTCATACATCAGCTTGAATTACGTTGATCGATATTACATTTTTTTTGCTGTGTAGGTGGAAGGATAAATTTTGAGCCTGTAATTGAAATTGTAGACAAAAAGTGTATAATACAAAGTTGTTCCTTATAGTAAGGTAATCATTTTTTTGACAATGAATTTTTGGGTGGTTCTTGTTATCATTGAATCTAACTTTTTAGTTTGTAGAAATTAAGGTATACATTTTTCGGCAAAGTTATAGCTGAGCTAATTTTAAGTAACTTTTTAGTATATCTTAAATTGACCGATTTAGAGCTATTTTATTGAATTGAGTTAGGGCTTCTCTAAAAACACAGTTATTTTGCTCTAGTTTTTTTATTTCAAATTTTTCAGCAAAGATGTCCCAATCAACTTTCGGATCTTTTGAAGGGGCACATTTTTTACTGCACAGAGCTTGACAATATCATTCGTCGAACAATAGTTATTGACACTTTTCAACTAAAAATATGCCCTTTTCAAATGTTAATATCTCTGGTTGGGGCAAACAAAAACAAAGTTTTTTTAGGGCATTTAAAAGGACGTTTGTTATAATTAAATAAATTCCACGAACTACTGCGTTAATAACAATAAATTACACAATGCAGAACATTGCCTACTTTTTTAAATGCATTAAATACAGGGTGTTCAATAAGTTCGAATACTCTTTAAACATGTGTTAAAAAAATGAAAATACAAAATATTATTTTCTGAGCCAATTTTTATTAAGAACCTTTACGACATATTAGCCCCAACCCCTTTGCGCTGTATGACGAGCTTGAGACGTTTCTCTAAAAAAATTGCACGCGGCGCGCACCTGGTCCATAGAGGTAACTCTAAGACTAGAAGGTCCCGAAATAACGTGCTCAACTTTTTGGCTCAGCTCTGGTACTCTCTTCGGTCCCAAGCTAATCTATTCACCCCTCGAAAAACCAATAACCCCTCACTTTATCTGTCAAACTTTCATAGCGAATCAAAACAAACATTGCGTAGTACTAGAATTTCGACTAGAATGAGGTACGTTAATCGTTTGCTTGGGACCAATAGGCTAGTCAAGTAGTGAGCCAATTTAAAATCGTTAGTTTCGTATTGATTGTTGCCTGATCCATCGGTATGTCGTCCCAGATCTTGGAAATGAGCTTCTTAAATTGGCCCATAGTGCTCACTTGATGTTCGCTCTGCTCGGCCAACATTTACGACCATACATAAAAGTCCAGGGGATTAAGGTCCGGGAGCTGGGAGGCCACAAAGTCTTATCGAAAAAATCAGTAAAATTCTCCCGACCCCACGCTTGGACGATATTTGCCATGTGGGGCCGGTGCACCGTCCGGTTGAAAGATGTAATGATCCTTCCCGTAGAGGTCCCGAAATGCCTTCTCCAGAACCTCGGTATTATAGTACGCGGCGTTGATTTTCACGATTTTGTCG